AAAGGTAAGTAAGGAAATCAATGATATTGCAATCGTTGTCTTTGACTAACCTTGGAAATTACTTTCATGAATTTATATAACAGAAATGTAACAATTTTTCAGCGGCAATCGCGTAATGTATACTACAATTTTAAATTTGAAAAAAGTTGATAAAATTCAATAAAAAAAGATCAACTGAGCGACAGATTTCTTTATCAAAACTAATAATGTACAGAAAACAGTTGTAATTGATAATAAAAAATGTATAAAGATACCAAAATGATCATGCATATAATAATAAAGCCTTGAAAAAAATTTGTACATAGCAAAATAGTTTACACCACGTAAGAAATTCTATGTTAATCGTAATCATCGATTACATTATTTAGAAGATAGATATAAACAAAATAGTATAAATTTAAATGAGTTTTTGTGTAAGGTATCAAAAACGATAGATGTTAAAAAGTTTTAATCTTTTTGTCAAATGTTTTTCAAGACTATATTGTATGCATGATCATTTTGAAGTAAAAACTTTATAATTACAACTAGAATTCCATTTTTTACAATGAATAAAAAAAGTGTCGATAAAACAAGAATTAAGCTTAATTAATTAAAAACATAGTCTCGACGAATCAAGATAAAAAAAGTGTCGAAGAATCGAGCAAGAAGTTAGTGTCGATGAAACAATAATACTCCTTTTTGAATGTACATAATTTGACGGAGTTGTTAATAAAAAATTTTTTTATGTGATGATATATCAAACACTGAAAAGTTGCTTCAGTTATTTAAGTAATCAAACGTTCTTGTTTATGTTATCTACTAGTAAGGTTCCTTCTTAACGAGGAATTGTACTATTAAGTTTTGGCGACTGGAGAAAATTATATTTTGAAGTAACCGATGATATTCTTAATAGTGACTTTTACAGTGTTAAAGGTTAAAACCTAGGTAGAATTCTATTTGTTCTCTGAATTCATTTCTTGTACCAACTATCTGCCGATAGAGTTATTTTGCAAACTTTTTATTTAGCACCTATTATTCTACAATAATAACTATGTACATTATAACTAGGCAAACGAGTACTAACTATTTCTTGGACAGAACTTGATTAAACATTCGTTGATAGTAGCGATCTGAAATAATTTTGTTCGAGTAAAATGTCTTTCAAACTTTAATGTAAATAACCTATATAACCTATAATATTAGTTAGAGCTCTATTATTCTACTATTAGTAATAATAAGGTCGTTGATTTTGGTAACTTAACGGCATGAAAGGTTGAGAATAAGCCATGGGATTTTGTTGCATGTATGGGGATTGAGGCTGCTGATAATATTGTTGATATAGTGAGTGATAATACTGTTGCTGTTGATAAGGATTATTATAATATTGACCAACCATCGGAAAACCACCAAATGCTGAAGGTTGCTGTTGTTGAGGCCACATTCTCATGTTTCCAGGGCATACTGGACATTGTAATTGTTGTTGTTGTTGTGGCCAAATTCCATACTGAGGCTGTTGTTGAAAATAATTCATCCTTTCGTTTTATAATTTAAATAGAACTATGAGAGTATAGGAAAGACAAGTGGTTGACGGTCGTAAGAGTTTTGTGTGTATATTCGTTGTGATGAATAATCAATAAAATGTAAACCTGAAATGGTTTGTTTAAATATTTTCTACATCATATATAATTATTATGCGTAAGGCGTGAAAATAAAAATAAAGAGTTCGAATTTTTGTCTAATTGCTAAAAGTCTTTTTGCTAAGTACATCTACATTCGCATTTTCAAATATGTCAGTTTCGAAGGCGATGACCATGAAGACATGAAGGGGAAGCCAAAAGCCATTTTCTCTTTTATCATTAGAATTTTATATCAGTCATGTTTGGACGTATAACCAGATACAGCGTACCTTGGTTATCAGAAATTGTTTTGACAATCATGATGTCCAAAATAGAGAGAAATAGTATATATTTATTCCAACAAACTTTCATCAACACGACATGAGCATGCAATGATTTATTATGAGTAATTTTTTGATAATTAATAAAATATCTAAGTTTATTTGTTTGATTTTAATATTTAATGGTATTAATATTTAACCTAAAAAAAACCTATTGCTAATGAGTAATTCCATTGGTAGTCAGTCACGTTTATTTTCAGGTGAAAATTTCGGAATAAGAAGCTTTCGACTAGATAAGACGAGTTGTGCAAAACAAATTTTATAAAAACTGTTGATATCATGGTTTCTCTAATCTTCTGTCTCCAATCAAGCATTTTGACCAAAAAATTCGACCTTTTTTGAGGTACGTCCGTTTATATAAAAATGTGTCACATCATAATGATAGAAAACTGCAACTTAGCCGTAGAATCGATCAGGTTAGAGTTGAGTTGTATTTGAGCGTCAGATCTGATTATGTTTTCTCCAATTCTTTCTAACTGTTGTTTCATCCATGAAAACGCACATATCGACTTTTCTTCACTATTCACAAGTCACAAAGAAAATGGAAAAATAATTTACTTTTGAATGAAAGAAACTTCGCTAAGGCACACACTAATAGTGGACAATAACATAAAACAAATTTTAATGGTGAAAGCAACGACTTTTCAATTAATAACATAGTAAGTGATGCAGCTGTTTTAACTTCATTCTTTATTTTATTAGTGATATTTCGATCTTACGAGGGAACATATCCAACTGTCAAATCGCTTTCGAGCCGAAACCTAGTGGACTATAGATAGTCGATCATGCTGATTCCGAATATGATAGCCGTTTTTCCCCATAGGCCTTTTCTAACAGGTTTCTGAAAAACTAGTTTTCCAGAAAC